AAATGTTATTTTCGTTTGTCCTTTCCAATTTTGAATGACCAACGAAATAAGATTTTCTGATGCTTATTACTATACCTGCCAAATGAATATATATATATATATATATATATATATATATATATATATACATATATATATATATATATGTGTGTGTGTGTGTGTGTGTGTGTGTGTGTGTGGTGTGTGTGTGTGTGTGTGTGTGTGTGTGTGTGTGTGTGTGTGTATGTGTGTGTGTGTGTGTGTGTGTGTGTATTTGACGCAAAATACCATCTGGTTTTACGCCCGTGACCCTGCCTTGGTTGGGAGCTTTCTTGGTGACTTTTTTTCTTTGATTTATTGATCTATTTGGTCTTTAATTAGTTTTGTGTGTGTTTATTTAATTGGTTACTTAAGTGTGTGTTTAATATTATATATATATATATATATATATATATATATATATATATATATATATAATATATATATGATATGCGCATGTACTGTACATATGTGCTGCCATGTGTGTATATGGTATATGTATAAGTTTAGAGAACAATCCAATTTTATGTTGAAACATCAGGCATTATTTTGCTTTCGAATACTACTTTTGAAGGTCATTCATAAAAACTTATTTCATTTCACTCTCAGTATCACCACAAAAAATATTAATTTATCTTGAAAATCAATACTAATCACATTCATTGTTATATTTCTATCGCCTGATTGTGTAAATTGCTCCTAGCATTACATTAAAACACTAAATAAAGGAAAAATATTTGTTATTTAGAATCAACTTGCCCTATTCCTTGAACATTTTAATGATGTTACTATTATTATTATTTGTGTTATTTTCCTGTTTATTGTTAATGCCATAATTAATATTATATGTATATTATCATTATTATCATTTACTTTTTGTTTTCATTTTCTCTTTCATCTTAATTTTTTCATTTTCATTTTCATTTCAGTTAATTATATTATCTCAGTGTTAACGTTATTTCATTATCACTGTTATGCTCATTAGTATTACCAACTTAAATTCTGTTACTACTAATATTTTCTCTTTTGACTCACTCTTTTGATTCACTAGTACACACACATATGTACACAAAACACACAAATACATTTATACGTATACATAAATACATATATGTGTGTGTGTGTGTGTGCGTGATACATATATCTATCTATCTATCTATCTATCTATCTATCTATCTATCTATCTATCTATCTATCTATCTATCTATCTATCTATCTATATAGATAGATAGATAGATAGATAGATAGATAGATAGATATGATATATATGCATATATATATGTAGATATAAATATATATATATATATACATATATATATATATATATATGTATATATAAATGTATATATGCATATATGTATATATATGTATACATGTATGTATATATATTTATATATATGTACATATGTATATATATTTACACATATATGGACAACAAGCAAAATCTTATCGAATGCTGATCAAAAGAACTATATCGTCTGGGATCCTGTGATGAATAGAGAACTAATGTCACAAAAGGTCCAGCAACAGAACTGACACTTGACTCGGTGCATTTCTCTTCAATTGGAACGGTGCAACAGTATCATCGGCCCATTATAAATTGGCCTTTTATGATCCCGTGTCACAGCAGCGCCGCTTAAGCCTCTAGCAGCCAAGCGCGACAGACACACACACTCTCACACGCTTATATATAGGTAAATATATAAGAATTTATATTTGTAAACATCTTCAAGGAGAGGGGAATAATAGAACGTGATGTTTTGAGTCTGATGATGAATCGCACACGTACACAGACTAGACAACGTTACACAGTTTGAAAGACATGAATATTCTGTTTATACCTTACCATGAAAAACTAAACATTTGAGCACTTGTACATTTAAGTACTTTGGTGTTTAAATGAAGCAGGTTTTGTTCCCTCTCTGTATCATATAGTAAGAAAAGAAACAAAGAAATACACTAAATTTCCTGTATACTCCTGTATTTATTTAAAGGCTATTTATCATCATTTCTTATGACAACATTTTTAACTAGCGCCATCATCAAACAATATATTTATCAAATATTTTTAAATTTGTCAAATCTGAATATGTGTACAGATTTCAATGCTGAATTACAGATTTAGTGTTCAGACAATATTTCCATTCATTCGATTTTTTTTCTCGATGCCAATATTAATACAAACACATATTTCAATCTTCCTACAGATTTCAGTGTCGAGACTAGCATTTTGTACACATATTTATTTTATATTAGATTCATTACATATCTACATTTTCTAAGATGTCTTACCGCAGGGATTATCTTATTATACTCCTTGCTTTATATTATTATTATTTGCATCGTTATTGCCATGAACTTTTTTTTTTTTTTATCAACTACGGACTTCAGGGTATTTAATGTCTATTCATGTATGTACATATGTATGCCTATATATTTTTTCAGGGAAGGAAAGCCTGTTTATGGCGTTAATAATACTATA